CTAGTGTATTAAAGCGTTAGACCGTGAATACAGTCGCTTAGTGAGTTCAGTCGCTGGACCAAACAATTACGAGTGGTAGAGTAATAAGTGATCAACAATAAATAAGAACTAGACAAGATATTCCTAGATATTGTCAGCGGAAAGAGAGAAATCTATACCTGTCACCTGATGAAGGCCGGAATCCACAATTGTGGAAATGTTGTGATAAGAGCAACAATGATGAGGACAATAATCTGTATGTAAACAATATAAAAAAGAAATCGTAATTCATCGCTGTAAGGCATGACAGGCTCCTGCCGTGGAGCGATCAGTAGCAATTTAATCTCGCTAGTTCGCTAAAACGGCACGTTTAATTCAAATCGATGACCCTGTGACTGTCGATTTGTCACAAAAGAAGCTAAACTTTGGCGCCATACCTGTCATAATTTCTTTCAGCTTGTATTATTTCCAATCGATCTGATCTATCGATATTTGATGCAAATCATTGATAGAGAGCATGACCCTCACTGGGAGTTCGACAGAAGGTAGCGTTATTCGACTTTCAACTGTCATGCTCACCCCTTTTTCCTCTTTCCTATCTCAACCCACACCCTCTTCCTCTTCTCTCCGCCGTACTCTCTTAATACTTCATATATATATATATATATATATAGAGAGAGAGAGAGAGAGAGATTAATACAAATATAAAATTTTTCTCTTAGCTGATTGATGTTATATTTAGCACTCCGACTCCAGAGTTTCGTAGATGAAGTTGTTGTAATAATTCGGTCCACTCGTCAGGAGATATCAGCAATTACCTGCTGATTTCCTCATTTTCGTTATTTTTATATTAAATTGAAAAATGATTTATGCAGTTTTTATTGGTATTAGGCTGATTTTTTTTTCCTCTGTGCGTATGTTTGTGTGAGGGTCTGTGCGTGTGTGTTTGTACGAATGTACGTGTGTGTGTATGCATATACGTGTGTGTGTATATACAAATGTGCAGAACTTCGAGGTTATTTTCATATTTTTCTTATGTACTTATCCTCTCTCACTATTCATTTTCCTTAATTATGAAGATATGAAATATTGGAAAGACTGAACGTAATAGCATACAGGCCAGTTTTTCACATTTTAAATAGACCGACATTTTCAGTTTTTCAAATTATATTGCTCAATTTATTTATTTAGCCACCCCCTTTGGGAAATATCACTTTGCCATCAATATATATATATATTAAAAAATTAAAATCTTCAGACTAGGTTGTAGATTAATATTCTTTCGTTTTTATTATTATTATTTCATTTAGATTCCTCGACTATTTTCGGCCAACGTGGCCATCATCAGGAAAAGAAATATTTCTGCTTGCAGATATATATATATATATATATATATATATTGTCATCCACAGACTCAACAGTGTGGCTAGACGACCGGTTGCCTTTAGCTAGGATCGATAGAATTGAATCCTGACTATATATATATATGTGTGTGTGTGTATATATATATATATATATATATATATATATATATATATATATATATATATATATATATATATATATATATATATATATGCAGTATATTTAAGCCGCAACTATTTATAAAGCCAACTGGTGATCCAAAACCTGTTGGCCAACCAATGGCAGTAAATCCCAAAGACCCTAACGTAGGCAAATAGGCGCTGATATCCACGATCTCAACGGTCAAAATGGGGGAAGTGGTCGCCTAAGTTCAAGTGTGTGGGCTTCTCCGTCCCGGCAGAGTTTCTCATCAAAATCACATTCATTCGTCATTGATTCACAGCCATCTCCGCCACCACCAATTGGTGAAAGAATGGGAATAGGGATTGAGAATGACGGTCCCGATGATCGGATATAAGCAAGTGCTGACAACAAGAAATCCATCGAAACAATTTGTCTGTTAAATGTTTTCTTGTATCTTTACTAGTTTTTGGAATAAAATCTTGTATATTAGCAGCGAAATTGTAGATTAACTGTACAAAATTATTTTTTTTCTGTTGTGTTGTTCAAGTTAAAAATCACTCTTTTTAGTGCAGTCTCGTGCCAATTAATCGTTACACATGCCATCACTGTGAAATATTTTAAGCTTAGAGAGTTCTGAACAATACCAAAATTAAAAGCAAGAGAAACTTGCCTACCATCCATACTTCAAAACGTTCATGAAAATGACAGAGACGGTCAAAAATGCTTGTATCGGAATAACAGAATAAACTTTGTAAAGTGTATCCACAAATTCGACCCCAATATACATCGTTTTCAAAAATTAAATAAAATTAAAATTAATTAGACAAAGGTAAAACGCAGTGCAGTTTCATTTATTCAATATATATATATATATATATATATATATATATATATATATATATATATATATATATATAGTTGGATTGATGAGTTTGTCTAACGATCGCATGGGGCGTGAAACCCCGGATCACAAACTCACATCAATCCAGCTATATATGTTAGCTCTATCACTGATATACAATAAGTATCGCATATATGATATATACATATATATAAAATTGCATATATATATATTTGTATACATACATTGTCCATATATATATATATATATATATATATATATATATATATATATATATATATATATATATATATATATATTTACATACATACACATTGTATGTATAGTTAAGAAAAGGTCGTCTACATCTGCTTCTTGTAATATGTATACATAGTATGCAGATGAAAAATTCAACAGACAAATATATATTTCATCATTATATATATATATATATATATATATATATATATATATATATATATATATATCTTGAATAAAAAAGAATATTCCAGCTATGGGTTAAATAGCAGGACAGACTGGGTTCTATAGCCTTGGATGGCAACTGGTCTAGGAGGACAACAACTCTGAATTCAAAACCTGAGCGGGGTTGTTTGGGGACCTTGTGGCACGTAGTGCACCAGGTCTCTGTATTCGGCCCCTTCAAAAAGTGTGGATGGTCCTGCACAAAACATTCACCACTATAATCGAATCTCATGTGCCGGTGTCGGGCTGTCAGTTTCTGGAAACTGATCTGTTTTGACCCTCATACGTCGAACCCGACGGGAGAATCGATTTATATATATATATATATATATATATATATATATATATATATATATATATATATATATGTAACTATACTCGTTTCGAAAAAAACAGAATTTTTATTTGGCAATAATCAAATCAATCTCGAAGGAAAAAAAAAGGTTTTAAAAAAAGAAAGAGCTAGAAACATGAAAGTCTGTCGAAAAAAATCGCACAGATACAGGTTTAAAGCCCAAAGAAAAAACCCCGACACGAGTAAACAACGAACTAACAAAAGAGCTCAATACAACCGTAGAGCAGACCTAGATAAACCTAGGGAGCCAGACAAACCTACCTAGGTTTCACCTAAGCGGATCGTCAGTTTATATAGTTTTAAATAGTGCCATATACAATACATATACCAAATTCCGTTAAAAAATAATTTAATTACTTAAGAAATATCAACAAATCTCAGCCATCTTCCTACCTTTGAGACATGCTATTTATATATGTATGTATGAATCTGAAAGCCGAAAGGACTCAGAAATTGTACTACTTTATTTAAACTTGCACCGCAAACAGGGGAAACTCAAATATTATATATATATATATATATATATATATATATATATATATATATATATATATTATATTATGTTATATTATATTATATTATATTATATTATATAAATTATTAGTGCTTTTTCTAAGTACAAATCCAGTAAATTTATAAACGAGAATAGGGAAAATAATTTTATTGAGCAATATTGTAAAAACATTGGTTATACTCTAAAGAATTTAAGGTAAATTTATTTGGCAAATACATTAGCCAGGACCTTCTATACTTGTACTTATGAGTATTTATTGTCGGTTGCTTGAAATATTTTACGACCTTAAGGCATGCAAACACAAATACACACACACACACACACACACATATATATATATATATAAGTGTATCACCCAGCAAAATAAATATTCGTGTACCCGTGTGTATTTTTCCCAGGCATGCGCGTTGTGAAGATTTTAACATTTTTCTGAATAAAGGAAATCAACGGAATTTTTATAATCTTATGTATTGAAGAAACGAAGAAAGAAGTATATATATAAAAAAAGAAATTAAGAATGATAAAATATATAAAGAATATGAATAAAAGAATGAAGGAAAGAATTAAAATAGGAGAAAGAAAAAAGAAAGAAAATGCAAAAGGGAGAAATGAATCAAAACGAGAGAAAGAAAGAAAGAAAGAAAGAAAGAAAGAAAGAAAGAAAGAAAGAAAGAAAGAAAGAAAGACAGAATAAATTAAAATTAATAAAATAAATAAAGAATAAAAATATATGAATGAAAGAAAGAATTAAAATGGGAGAAAGAAGACAAAAGAAATAAACAATAAGAAGGAAATATGAATCAAAATGACAGAAAAAAAGAAAGAAATTAAATAAAGGGACAGAAAATTAATATGGGAAAAAAATTACAAAAAAAACTAAAATAAAAAGATTTTAAAAATTAAGATAAAGAGTAAAAGAAAAGCCTCCCCCCTCCACCAAAAAAAAGAAATAGAAGAATTTCAGTTTGGTCGAAAAAGCAAATAAAACAATGAGAACAAACACTGAAATTTCTTTCATGTCGTAAATCTTCCTTTTTCAGACAAATTTTGTTCCTCATGTAATTATTCAATAAATCGTCGTCAGTCAATCAAGTTTTTTTTTCTATTTTTCTACTCTTCCCGGCATTCTTTTCGTTAAACTCGTATTTACTTCCTGCCCATATCTTTTTATTCGATTCAATGTATTCCTCCACATTTCGCTGTCGATGCCATCACGCGTGAAGTTGTTTTTAACATATTTTTGCATTAGGCTGGATAGGAGGCACTTATTTCATTCAAAACAGTCCGTTCATCATTTCAACGATATGAAGAAAAAACAGATGCAGAAGGATTTTAGAAAGTTATAGACCAATAGCGTGAAGGAGATAAATATTGCTAGATAGATAGATAGATAGATAGATAGATAGATAGATAGATAGATAGATATGAAACCGACTTAGATAGATAGATAGATAGATATGAAAACCGACATAGATATGAGAACATAGATAGATAGATAGATAGATAGATAGATAGATAGATAGATAGATAGATATGAAAACCGACTTAGATAGATAGATAGATAGATAGATAGATAGATAGATAGATAGATAGATAGATATGAAAACCGACATAGATATGAGAACATAGATAGATAGATAGATAGATAGATAGATATGAAAACCAACATTGATATGAAAACATAGATAGATAGACAGATAAATAAATAAAAAGATATATATCTTTACTGAAATCTATATCTATTTTTCTATCTATCAATCTATACATATGTCAATCTACACGCGATGGGTAAATTGTCGCCATTTGATATCTTAATCTCGCGCATGTGCGTTGTTTGCTTGTTTTATTTTGTCGACTGCACAGTATAGTATAGCCAGTTGGGGACCCTCTGTGAAAAAAAGAGCACCTTGAAGCAATTCACTCAGCTAGGAATTTGGAAACGGCATCCCGTACTGCTTGGCATTCACGCCAGAAGCTCCATTACGAACATTTCAGATTGTTTGGGGGTCAATCTAAGGACAAGGCAGAGGATTCGAAGTTGGATGAGTCTGTTAGTAAGTAAGAAGGTGTTTGGATTGATCACCAGCGATGGTGAAGTTATACCTCCATTCATCATCCCAAGGGGCTCAGACTGAACAAGGATGCCTGTATCAAGTACCCTGAGGTGGTAGTGCTGCCCTGGGTAAAGAGCGGGGCTGTTGAAAAACCCTATGTCTGGCAACAGGACTTTGTAGCAAGAAAACCCACTCATAGTCGTTAGCCAATATTTGCGACCACATCACCCCTTACATGTGGACAGGAAAACCGTCTAGACGAGTTGCTGGAGATTCCGATGTCATCTGGAGGCCGTGGTTGAAGCCAATGGCGATTTTAGTGTATACATTTACTCTTCAGTATTTCAAGATATATATGTAAAAATGAGATGTCAGTGTTATTTTCATTTTTGCGTAATTTAGAAGACAATTTATCCATCGCACTCTGTATGTATCTATCAGATAGATAGATAGATAGATAGATAGATAGATAGATAGATAGATAGATAGATAGATAGATAGATAGATATGAATGGGGTCAGATAGATAGATAGATATGAATAGGGTCAGATAGATAGATAGATAGATCGATAGATAGATAGATATGAAATTATTAAGACAGAGGTAGATAGATATCAGGCGAGATATGTGTTGATAGAGAGATAGATATGAACAGGCTGAGATAATGTTATGGGATCTTACCCATAATAATAATCAACTATTCCATACTTAATAAATACTACGCCTCAAGAGTAGGCAACGAGTGAATAGTTCAAGTCGAATCAAGAGTCGAGTCAGAGGCAGTCCGAAACAGAGTCGCGTTATTACTGCAAGACATTGGAATAGTGATACTGGTCGAGACTACATTGTTCTCTCTACTAAACCTGATTGTTCATCCTAACACTTCTACTTCTCTGTATATATTCCTGTTGTTATTCCATACCTGTGTTCGAGTTCTTCTTTATTGGTTCTACCTTGGACTATCACCGTGGTACAAGGAACCAGGCCATAACAGATAGATAGATAGATAGATAGATAGATAGATAGATAGATAGATAGATAGATATGAACAGACTGAGATAAACAGATACATTGATAAATAGATAGATCTATATGAATAGATTGAGCTAGCTAGCTATCTAGCTAGATAGATATTAACAGATTGAGCTATCTAGCTAGATAGATATTAACAAATTGAGCTAGCTAGCTAGCTAGCTAGTTGGATAGATAGATAGATAGACTGACAGATAAGTAGATAGATATGAAGAGGCCAAGATAGATAGATAGATAGATAGATAGATAGATAGATAGATAGATAGATAATATACTGTCCCATACATAATCAACATAAAATGTAAATATTATTAACTTAAAATCATGAAAAGAAAGAAAGAATGAATGAAAGAAAGAAAACGCTGAAAGGAGGTAAAAGGAAAGAACTGCTTGTCTGTATGAATAAAAGGAAGGTGGATGGAACGAATGTATTTGAAAGAAAGGCAGCCAAGAGAAAGTCGACCAAGAGACGAACACAAAGTAGATGTGAACGAAACACAAACATGGAAGAGAAAATGAAAGAAATCAATGAATAATACAGAAAATATAAGCCGAGAAGGTCAGGCAAACAAACTCTTTTCCGCAATTTTTTATCGATTAATGCATTAACTAAGTTAATGTTTTGTATTTAGTATCTTTTCGAAGACACGATGTGCTGTCCGCCATTTTGGAACATCTTGCAGATGGATATATTTTTTCGTTTATGAAACAGCTTTCCGACAGTTTCTCTTGTAAATAAGTAATAAGAAGACGAGTATATTTCGTTTTGCCCATCTGCAGCCTTGCGCAAGATTAATTTTCGCTTTTACATGAACTTTTTCAATAAATACTTATCCAGTAGCTAAACTTAGGATGACATTTCTATGACTTTAACTATAAGGCATTTGTTGAAGAACAATGTTCGGTTGTGAATAAATATGTCTCAGAATGCGATAAGCATTTATTATTCCAAGAATTACCGAAATATCTCACCCCCCCCCTCTCTCTCTCTCTCTATTTCTCTCTCTCTCTCTCACTCCTCCCTCTCAGTCCATCTATATATAGTTTGTTTGATTTTCTTATATCAATCTAACTGTTCCTTTTGGTCTCTCTCAGTATTTTCGTTCTCGTTACACACACACACACACATATATATATATATATATATATATATATATATATATATATATATATATATATATATATATATATATATGTGTGTGTGTGTGTGTGTGTGTGTGTGATGTATGTATGTATTTATGTATAATTACAGAGAAAATTAAAATTAAAACTTTGTTACTTACAATTGGATTTTCAGTGTTTTTTCCTAGAAAAACAATTTATTGTTTTACTTTTTTTACTTTAGCAGATTTCGCTTAGCTTTTCAAAAGGTTTTAACTGTTTGTATCTCTACGTGTTGACACTTATGTTCTAAACAAATTATAAACATGAAAAGAAAATGTAAAAAATCAAGGGGTGTAACTGGCTATACATGTCGCTTATGATAAAGAAAATTTGGTAAATCTGTGCAATGAATTAATTATTGGTTTGAACTTGTTGATGAAAAATACTTATTTAATAATCCGCCTTGAAACAATTGTTCTGTAGTCTCACAGGTAGAAGGATAAGACACTAAAATTTGGCAGATTCTGTCCTCCGCATTCTTTTATATGTTGACTAAGGGGTATTTTTTCTGGTGTGGGGTCCCCAATTTGTTGGCGATGAACTGTCATCCTTTGCCGGAGTGTCTGGCCGGTTTCGCCAATGTAATCTTCGAGGCAACCTTTGCATGTAATTATGTATATTACATTCTCTGAGTCGCACGCGAAATCATTTTAAATTTTGATCCGCCTTTGAAATGTGGCCCTCTAATAGGTAGCTGCATACCCCACAAAGTGGTCGGTTGCATTTTTTCACCTGAGGGTCTTTAATTGTAGTTTTGCCCTCTTTAGTGTCTTTTTTTAGTGATTTTGGTTGGGGTAAACGACAACCAAATCACTAAAAACGAATGTTTTTTTCCGAAGCTAAATTTACTTTGTTTCCCTACGTATGCATGCGAATGCACATGTATCTGCAAGTGAACGATAAAGAACCTTTTAAGGAAAATCCGTAAGTCGAAATAACGAGGCAAGAATGCTTGGAAAATTTAACACTCATTTCGTGTAGCGAAGGCAAAATTCCTAAAAACAAAAAAAAACTGAAGATCCTTATTCTCACGTCCTATAGATTTTACGTAAAACGGCAGGCAATCTCTCGTTAGATTTCAACGGTATGAACAACGTGAAAATCAAGCAGGTGAAAAATGCAAATAGCCAAAGGAATATCGGAAAAGATTTGGTCAGAAAATAAGCCAAGTCTTTGGAGATGAGAAAGTGTCTTAGAAACGAAGAAAATATTACTGAACCAAGTATCATGAAGGGATTGGGGGGTTTCAAATATTTGTGCCCCAGAGTAAATTTGGTTTTAATGACCTCAATAATAATAATAATAATAATAATAATATTATGTTTTATAATGTTATGCATATACTTTTTATAGCTTTTTCTGACTGTGTGTTATGATGTGGGTAAATTGGTTTTCGTGTGTTTTTACCCCCGCAAAAATTTGTTGACTTATGCCCTCTTAATAATAATAATAATAATAATAATAATAATAATAATGAAATAATAATATTATGTTATATAATGTTATGTATATACTTTTATAGCTTTTTTCTGACTGTGTGTTATGATGGGGTAAATTGGTTTTTCAAAAATTTGTTGACTTACTGCCCTCTTAATAATAATAATAATAAAATAATAATAATAATAATAATAATAATATCTGCACTGGAAAATCTGCAACTTCTACCGGAAGAAAACAGAAAGAAACTGGTATGACCACCCAGACCTGGTTACGGAGATAGTACCTGTTAAACTATGGATTAAATACACACTGTCAGAACAATGAAGGCCAACCGGCCAGATATTGTTATTTGACTGCAATGTATCTCTTTGAAGATATTCAAAAAGTTGTCAAAGTACAAGGTTGGCATATGGGAACATCAACAATCCCTGTTTAGTTTAGGATGAAAAGAAATTATTGCCTCAAGGAGATACAAAAAAATTGTATCTGCATGAGATACAAAAAATTGTTCTGACAAGTAAGCCCACACACCTTACGAAGGGCTTTATCTATGTAATTTAATTTTTTTTTTTTTTTTTTTTTTTTTTTGTCAGTGGAAATGTCATGACTCTTAGGTCCTAAGGGACCCGGAAAGTAATTTGTAAACGCCAGAAATCAAAGAAAATAATAATAATAATAATAATAATAATAATATTCTGTATATGCTTTGTATATCCCTCATCTGATTGGGTGATATGGTGTGGGTATACTGGGCTTGACTTTGTTTTCGTATTAGTCGCTTAATCAATCAATAATAATAATAATAATAATAATTTTTTATTTCTTTAAGGCATGGCGCTACCAGGAATCCAGAAATGTGTATACAATAAAATCCCCCCTCTAATGGGATTACACAATACATACAGAGAGAACAATCAAAGCCAACCGCCCAGATATTGTTATTAAAGACCACAAACAAAAAAGCCTCCTTATTGATATGGTCAGACTGCAATGTATCTTTGAAGATATTTACAAGAAATAGAAATTCGAAAATATGGCATATGGGAACATCAATAAACCCTGTTGTAGTTGGAGCCCTAGGACTGGTTTTCAAAGATATAGAAAAAATATCAAGAATAGCCCACATTTTGAAGGGCTTTATCGATGTAAAATTTTTATTCTCTCATGATACCATTTCTAACTTTACCATGAATCATTTTTATCCTCCTTATTTTATAATCTGAACACGGCACCACCTCCTCTTTCATTCTTTTCACGCACTTGAGATACTGTTGAGCCTTGTATTTGGTAAACTGTTATATATATATATATATATATATATATATATATATATATATATATATATATATATATATATATATTATATATATATATATATATATATATATATATATAGGATGCGATGGATAAATTGGTATCTGCATTACGCAAAATGAAAATAACACGGACATATTTTATATATTTACCAAAATTACACAAAGATGTCTTGAAACTACAAAGAGTAAAATTGCCATTCTTCAACCACGACGTCCAGACGGCTTCGGAATCTGCTGCAACTCTTCTGGACTGTTTTCTTGTTTATGTTATTTTGCCGTAATCCTTGCCTTCATTTCATGTTTGGTGTTAGTTTTTTTTTCTCGCTCAATTTAATATATACAGTCTTAAGTGTCCAGATGTAAAGGATGAAATTGAAAGAGTCCTGTTAAGAAAGTCACCTTTGACGTTACTACCTGAAGGCATTGGAGGCCTCCGTGTTTTCTGGAGGCTCTGTCAGATGATGAATGGCGGTTTTCACTAGTGATCAAAACACTATGATATTGACTGGACATTTGATTCTCATCAATCTCAATCCTCTGCTTTGTCCACAGATTGACACCCAAATACTCTGAAATGTTTGTATTTGAGTTTTTGCCAAACAGTAGAGCATGTCGTTTCCAAATTTCTATTATTCGGGCAGCCCAACTGACCTTACTATACTGTGCAGTCGACAAAAATCAAAGACAAACAACACGCATGCGCGAAGCTAAAATTTGCCGACAATTTACCCATCGGCACCCTAAAGAAATAATCACACAGAGAATCAATCTGTAAATTATATGCTGCCTAATGTTATATATATATATATATATATATATATATAAAATGAGTCAAAAGCAGGCTTTCACTTAGTAGACTTTACATTTTTTAAAACATTTTATTACATTTATATTTATTTATTACAATCCTATTTTTCAAAAAATAAACTTATATTTATAGCAAAGTTTAATCTCTTAAATGCTCAAATGTCCTCCTTCAACATTGCAACATTTCTCGAACCTCTCCAGAACACCATGACACAACACGACACAAATCCTGATTTGCATTAATTTAAATAAATACTTCTGAGGTGTTCTCTTTTAATTCGTCCACCGTGTGGGAAATTCTATAAACCTTATTCTTTAGTACCCCCCTACACACACACACAAAAGAAATCCAATGATGTTGGTACTGGAATCTCCTTCTTCTGAACAAACGGTGGGAAAATTTTGGTTAAGGTAGCCCCTTAATGCCAAAATGGGGAAGTGGAATACTGGTTTGGATTTATGTGAAGCAAATAGCGAAAACAACTATAAGCTTACTTTTGGTCCAGTCTGGAAATAGAATTGGTACCCAAAACTTAAGAGAGACAATTCTCCTATTCCTCACCGAAAACGTTACTTTCTATCATGTTTTATTCTTCGGAGATGCCATTTTGCACCTTAGATTCTCTGAATTTAGGAACCTCACCTCGTGTATATAAAATGTATTCAAATACGTTCAAATTGGCAAGAACAATCTCTCCTAGCTTGATAGATAAATGTTTATTATTTTGAAATTAAAAAAGAAACGGAAGTCTGTTGCTCTACTTCCTGAAGACGACAGACAGATTTTCTAAAATTACACTGATTTCGACGCTTATTAATTTCTCATCCACAAAAAAAAAATGCGGTCTTTTAAAATTGATTTCATGTCGAGGCCAATGGCGGGAAATAGTAAAGACGGAAATCGATTTCCTGCGACATTTTTTTTCGGACAAGTTCGTCCATTTGTATTCGCTTCCAACATCACTTCCGGAGATTTAGTCTCATTTGATTTTTTTTTTTTTTTTTCTCATTTTTGCTCAGTTCGATTTTTTTGATGGAACTGTTCAGTAAGTTATTTGCCACATTCAAAATCTCTTTTTTTTTTTTTAATGTGTCTGTAAAGGAATAATCTTTTTAAGAAACTAATGCGTTTTAAAAGGGTGATAGATAGATAGATAGATAGATAGATAGATAGATAGATAGATAGATGAATCATCTGAGATAGATAGGAGCAGACTAGGATAGATAGATAGATAGATAGATAGATAGATAGATAGATATGGACAGACATAGATAGATAGATAGATAGATAGATAGATAGATAGATATGGACAGACATAGATAGATAGATAGATAGATAGATAGATAGATAGATAGATAGATAGGAGGAAGATGAGTTATATACGAGCCGACTAAGATAGATAGATAGATAGATAGATAGATAGATAGATAGATAGATAGATAGGAACAAGGTGAGATAGATACGAGCAGACTAAGATAGATAGATGATAGATAGATAGATAGATAGATAGATACTATATTAGCTACTATAAGTTTGCAGAACCCGCAATACTCTTCTGGTCTACTTAATGTTTAATATACGATATATCTTTAAAATTTTTTTTTTATTACTTAACCAATTACTTGGTCACAAATATATAGTCAGAATAAGATAGATAGATAGATAGATAGATAGATAGATAGATAGATAGATAGATACTAAATATTAAACATTGTCTTTATTCTGATCTAACTTTTCTCTTCTTTTCTTTGTCGTTTTCGCATATTTGTTTTATACTTCTGTTATTAATGTTTGTCGGTTAAATTTTACATTTTTTTTCGATTTACACTCTTATGATATATATATATATATATATATATATATATATATATATATATATATATATATATATATATATATCCTCATGGGCGAAACTAGTCGAGGAATCTAACTGAAATAATAAAAAGAAAAATATTGATATACAACCCAGTGTGTCTGAAGATTTTAATTTTTAATATTTTTAGTTCAAAACACACACACACACACACACACACAAACACACACACACACACACACACATATATATATATATATATATATATATATATATATATATATATATATATATATATATTAATGAGTATTCATTTAAACATATACGGAAACCTACCAAAGTCCATCCGTAACATACTTCTAGAAAATACATGTATAATAGACTAATACACATGTTCGAGTAAACATAATGAAAGCACTAGCAATGAAAAAAAGCCAACACCCAATAACATCAACTATGAACACGGCCACAATATGCTAGCCATTTTGTAACTCTAGATACATACATACTTTTCCAGAACTCATCAGTCGTCTTTAATGAAAGTTTTATATATTTATATATATATATATATATATATATATATATATATATATATATATATATATATATATATATATATATATATATATAAAATTGATTTAAAATATATTTTTTTTTACACAGTTCTAATAGGAGCTTCTATTTTTGAAACATGGTTAGAAATGTTGGAAAAACCATATTTTTAAATCAATTAATTTATAATATTATTCTCTGTAAATTTACATTGAGGCACTATTTTGTAAAAAGAAAATATCTATAAGAACACCGGATTATATATCTTACTGTTCTTTCTTTTTATTTATATATATATATATATATATATATATATATATTAGTATTGTTCAAGTACACACCGCCAGACTCGGGTACGCACAACCACTATATCCCCAAATTCACAGACCAACTCATTTACCCACTAGGCCATGGTCCATATGAACCAAACGATATCTCTAAACATGGGCAGTGGAATGAGAACAGCCTACCACAGTAGATAAAATACTGGGTTCAGTTCGTTATTCCCTGTAGATGACCCTAATCGATATACATCTTTAGAAGGTCGAGAGGTGGCTGACAAAGACCGAAACGTTGTGATAAAAATCCAAGAAATTTCTTTCTTGTTTCACTTAGAAAGAAATTGTGTATTTTTTAAATAAATTTTAATTTCGCAAATAATTAAAACTTGACTGGAAAGCCAGTAACATTTTACGGAACGGACAGATTATGCAAGTAAATGTTTCCATCGTAGAACGAGACGTAGAAAGACAATAGTTCGTCTAATCGCATATTCATTTAATTCTTTCATTCTTTTGTTCCTTTAATTTAACTATTCATTTATTCCCCTAATTCGCTCATTCTTTTATTTGCTTAATTCATCAATTTCTTCATTCACTTTTTTTCGTTCTATCTCTTATTCTCTTATTTCGAATAATCTTGATGTCCAGACTTCGCCCAGTTTTCTTTACTACGTCTATTCTTTTATTTTGTTAGTCCTATTCTTTTATTCCTTTATTAATCTATTCATATATTCCCTAAATTCGTTTAAGCTTTCCTCCTCTTATTTATCTATTATTCAATTCCCTTATTCTTGTCATTCTTTTATTGCGTTAGTTCTTCTATTCTATTCTTTTATTCTCTTTTTTCGCCCTTTCTTTCATTTCCTTAATTCGTCTATTCTTTACTTTATTAATGTTCGTCCATTCTGAATTCATCTATTATTTTATAATCTCCGTTCCTTCATTCTTTTATTCTCTTAATTCGTTCATTCTTTTTTATTTCTTTAGTCTGTCCATTCTTTTATTCTCGTAATTTGACTACTTTTAATCTCCATGTTGTTTGCCCATTATTTTATTCCCTGAATTCATTTATTCTTTTATCACCTTAATTCGGCCATTCTTTTATTCCCATAGTTTGTTCATTTCTTTTTTATTTTGTTAATTTCTCAATTCTTTTATTCCATTTATTCCTTTAGATCCCCCATTCTTTTATTCCATTAGTTCGATTATTCTCTAGCTGTTTGATTGTTATTTTTTCTCCTACTGGGTTGCTGAGTACTCACCCACACAGAAATGGTGTAAGGGTAGCCATTTTGCTTGCTGACTCTCAGAATACAATTGACTTGAATTTCGAGTTGTCTTCCTTCAACAATGGCTGCCGTCAAAATATAGGCAGCTCTGTTTCCTATGCTGTTATATGTAACTCTTTTCTGCTATCCATTAGCAGAGTTGTTACTTAACATCAAGAGGGCAACTCGTTGCACCTTCTCGAGCTAACGTTCTCGGCTGACATGAAAATTAAAGATTATATTGAATCAATTGCTAATTCTACTCTTAAGAAAATAGGCTCATTGTGTCGTACTGGACAATATTTCTCTTTCCAAAATCTATCTTACATATTTATAAATCTATCATTTGGCCATGCTTTGAATATTACTGCCACATATGATTTGGTGCTTCGGTAGGGTGTTTAGAGATTCTATACCATTTCAAGTTCAATTTGGGACTAATAAAATTCATTTTGGGAATAAGCAAGTTCATTACGAAATAGAAAAGTTCAGAATGGAACGCAGCAAATTCAAAATGAAATAACCAAGTTCAGAATGGGACGCAGCAAATTCAAAATGAAATAGCCATGTCTAGAATGGGACGCAGCAAATTCAAAATGAAATAAGCAAGTTTGATTTGGAACGAAGCAAATTCATAATGAAATAAGCAAGTTTGAATTGAGACTAAGCATATTCATCATGGAAAAATGTTTCGAACTTATCTGCGCGTTTCAATAAACAAATATCACGGATTAAAAAAAAAATCAACAGGTCGGTAAATCAGATAATTAAATATCGAAGCACAGCGTTGCGTAGATTTTACTATCAATTCCTTACAAAAGTCTATTCTGGAACGGAAAATTTGTGTCAAAGTTAGAGTTTCTGGCACTTTCATTGTTAAGACAATCAAGTAGAATAGAAGAAAAAAAGAGGTTGATAGACTGTATATAGTGGTAAAAAAGAGAGAATAAGAGAGAGTTATTCAAAATAAAATGATTTGGGGAACAAGGGCACATCTGTAAAGACTTAAGAAAAAGCAGCAAGGAAATACAGAATGCATATATCAAGACTGAGGTGGAAAAAAGATAGGTATAATGAGAGATTTTAAGCGCTGAAAGTTGCATCCAAAAAAACATACATCTTTCATGAATATGGAATTTGCTATGTCTCAATTTACATTTGATTATTCCAATTTGAACGTTGGCTATTTTATTATGAACTTGCTTAGACCCAAAATGCTTTTGATTACTCCCAAATTGAACTTAAAATATTATAGACTAGAGCTGTGAATGTAGAGGGTAAAATAATTCTAAAGGTGACCCTAATTTTGATTTTTAACCTTTTCATATGCTGTTAAATGCCATAAATGGTTCTAGGAAGATTCGCTGTAAACATTTTTACCGTTGGAAAAACTCGCCTCAGGAATTTTCGCATTAGAAAACTTTGCCGTAAAGGATTTTTGCCGTACGACACTTTCGTCGTATTTCATTTAAACATGCGAAGTACCTTTTTATCAAGTATATCTGACTCACATTATTGTTACTTCGATTTAAACATTTTAATAAATGAAGTTATAGGATCAAAATCCTACATCATTCATCCTCGTCAGTGAGAAGCGCAAAAAATTCAACTTGACACAAGAACCTATGTCACGCAATTTTATATTTCAGATTTAACGTTAAACTTTCTGTTAACGTAATATCGAAGAGTTGCAGTACAAATGAAGTATATATATATATATATATATATATATATATATATATATATATATATTGATATCAATGCAAGACTTCAGCAGAAAATGCATTATTACAGTCTAACGCAAAAAAACATTATTTACGAAGCATTGCTTGGAATTTGCACACATTTTAAGTTATTTCATTGTTAATTTGATATATTTTTAGTCATTTATTTTTTACATAAATGTTGACTTTTTAATTTCTTTTCTGATGTTTGACCCTGTAAAAAAGACGTCCATATATACTTGGTAACATGGCACTTCGCATCTTCAATTGATCATTACTCCGAGAGAAACGTTCAAGATAAGAGTATCGAAAAAAATGGGGCGAAATTTTCTTACGGCAAAAATCCTATACTACGAAGTTTCCTACGACGAAAATTCTTAAGGCGAGTTCTCCTACGGCAAAAATGTTTAAGACGAATGTTCCGGATACGGTGATAAATATCATCAAACAATAAAATTGAGAAGATTTGCTTCTGTTGGAAGCTGGGTGATTAATTTCGCGAATTTCCCAAAATCCAGGGGTCCAGCAAATACCACTCTTCACATAAAAGATCTCTTACGTAATTACTTTCCGTTTGGTTTCGCAATTTTCGACAACATCCTTTTGGAAATGCAATGTTAAGACGACTACAAAAATTAATAAATAGCAAACAAAAACAAGATAGAACTTACGGAAAGTGACGAGTTAAACCGAGAAAAATGGCGGTGTACAGTTAAGAAATCGGTATCTAATTTCATTCAAATCCATTCAGTAGCACCGAGCGACGGTCTTTGTTAAGCGTCAACCTCGCCTCCCTTGGAATTGTCATCGTTATCTCTTTGATTTTCTGTCATTGTCTTGCATGAAAATAACTGACCATACACAGTTTCCTGTGCAAAATGCAAACATCCGCCAAGCATTTGGTCTTATTAAATAATCATTTGAGCAAAAGCATTGATCAGATGCAAAGGTTATGGAACTAGTGTTATTCTAGTTTAATCGTCTGAATAAAATCGGGAAAAATAATTATTTATCTCGCTTTATCTGACTACTACTGATCGCCCGACAAAACAAGGAACATGTGCTTGGATTGACTACCACAATGCGTTCTATGAAAAGGGATATTCAATCTGGGTATGTGCTTAGTCGATATAAATAATTTACGTGCTTTGCTGTCATTAAACCACGTGCCTCTCTCTAGCATTACTTTAACATAATATAAAATTACTTTACTTTTTCCAAGGTCCGTTGCTAAATATATAACATAATAGAAAGAACATTTTCACCCTAAGCAAAACGTTAAAGCCAATAAGGATGTCAGTGGATGGGAATTAAGGCAGGAGAAAAGAAAATATAGGAACAGAGTTCAGGAAGACCAGAAGATCATGATTGAAGTTGCGATTAAATTTTCGGACATTGTAGGTGACAGGGAAGCAAGAAATCGGAAAAAGAATTCCACATGTGAGAAGTGCGAAAGAAGAAACTATTAGAACAGAACTTACGGTTACATCTAGCTATTTTAACAGTAATACGATGGGGCCTAGTAGCCAATCTAGTAGTAGGTATAAATTCATGCGGTTGGACTACCAAAGAGGTAAGCTTATTAGAAACACTGTCATGAAAATATTCATAGAATAGACAGAGGAAAGATAAGTCCTGACGGTAGAAAAGTGACTAAAATTTAGATACCATGTCAGGACTGATAAAATTACATATCCATATTTGGATTTTCGCCTCTCTCTCTCTCTCTCTCTCTATATATATATATATATATATATATATATATATATAGAGAGAGAGAGAGAGAGAGAGAGAGAAAGAGAGAGAGAGAGAAATACATTTTCTCTCGTTAGAGAAAAATGTATTTTTAAAAAAGAGAGAAACCGCAAACGTTTATGGTTATACTGTGTTTTTTTTTTTATATATATATATATATATATATATATATATATATATATATATATATATATATATATGATATTTTATTCTTCATATTTCTGCTACAAAGCGTTTTGAGCTCATATTGTTTTACTGTCTCATTGTTCGTTTACTGTATTTTTCAGTGCCTTGAACTCCTTTTCTCGACTGTTGGCAAAAGAGAATTTATGCCTAAGTATTAATAAAATCATTAGTTTTGATATGAGAGGTGATGATGATAGATATGTTGATGAGAGATGTCTTCTTATCCCTGTGTTAACCTACACACACACACACACACACACACACACATATATATATATATATATATATATATATATATATATATATATATATATATATATATTCCTCACCTATAGGACGACTCGGGGTTTCATACATAACGCAGTCTTCAGGCGCTGAGTATAGACTTACCGTTACATAATTTAAATTTTAATATAAATATCTGGTTATTGTAATGTTGGCGCACTTATATATTATATTGGGATTATAAGTATTTAATTTTTAAAAATATATTTAGCATTTAAAATAAAAGGAATTTGTATATTTTTTTACATATGTAAAAATAAATAATTAAATCATTTAGAGTTGTGAATAGTTATTTTTTGTAATAGGCATAAAAAGAGATTTTTGTTCCTTTAAAAAAACAACCATAACTTACATTAAAAAATTAATCTGGATCAACGTATTTCAGCAAATATTTATTTGTATGCCTACATGTAATCATCAATTCATTACTCTTATTTAATAAGCTAGGGTCATTTAAGTGTTTAAGATAACTAATTTTTCAACAAGACATAAATTACATTTATTTCCCGTTGTGAGTTTTGGCTCGTGCTACAATATCCCCAACGTCACCAATTAACACACGCTTTCTCTCTCTCTCTCTCTCTCTCTCTCTCTCTCTCTCTCTCTCTCTCTCTCTCTCTATATATATATATATATATATATATATAGTCTTATAATTGTTATGCCAGAAGATCTAACAGTTGCAGAAGGAAGATGATTAAAACTAGAATTTAGAGACACTATACAGCTTGATGTAGACCAATATATATATATATATATATATATATATATATATATATATATATATATATATATATATATATATATAATGGATGTGTTTGTAATCCTTCATTTTATTGCATGAAACAATATTATAGTGGATACTCGTATTTGGAATAGACGCCCAATTTTCATTTTTATTTTTAACAGTGTGGATTACGTCTGTCGGCATATCTCGAAAAATCTTAATGAAAATAGACTCATTGATGCACCCAACTTACAATCACTCAGCGATTAATTATAATGCCGACCAATGGTCACCTTGAGACTCATTTACACACTCGATCAGCATTTACTCAGTGACACGATTATGA